TGGGTAAACTCCAGGGCTGCAGAAGAGAAGGGGGAGATGAGCAGAGTAGCACAGATGGCGAAGCCCCACTCCATCCCAGGGGAGGGAAGGGAGGTCCCAGGAAGCACCCTGGGGCTCCTGGGAGCACAGGACTGCACCCACCGGGACTGCTACCGTGCCACCCTCCTCACCTCTGCTTTTCAGGGTGGCCGCCAAGGGCAAGAAGTAGCTGGTGAAGAAGCCAAGCCGTGCGCCCTGCACATAGTCCCGCAGCACTGGCAGGAGCCAGCTGCGGGGGAAATCCAGTGTCTCCCTGGGGAAGGAACGCACGGGTCAGGGGAGCGTGGGGCACTGTTGGCATCAGCCCTGGGCACAGGGCACCTCCACCCAGCCCCAAAGCTGGGCACAGGTAGACTTGGCAGAGCCAAACACCTCCAGCACCGCACGGGGACTGAACAGGAATGTAAAAAGGCTGCAAAATTGCTACCCCATGACTGTACTCACTCCTTGCCATCAATCTCCAGAGGCACGGCTTCCAGCAGCACCTCAGGGCCCATGGTGCTCACAGCAGCCCCCACTGCCTGGTCCACTTCGGCGGTGTAGGGGAAGTGTGGAGAGAGACGCAGGTCACACAGGGACCGGAGACACTGTGGGGACAGGGCAGGACGGTCAACAGAGGAGCCACAGAGGCAAGTCCGGCACATGTCACTTACTATGCCTGCCCAGGGATGACAACTGCCCTGCGTATCCCCGTGCTGAGTCCCAGGGCTGCACACACCCTGCTCACGTGTCCTGGTTTTGGCTAGGATAGAATTAATTTTCTTCCTAGTAGCTGGTACAGCGCTGTGGTTTTGGATTTAGTATGATAATAAAGTTGATAACACACTAATGTTTTAAATGTTGCTAAGTAGTGCTTACTTTAAGTCAAGGACTTTTCAGTTCCTCATGCTCTGTCAGCGAGGAGGTGCACAAGAAGCTGGGAGACAGCACAGCCAGGACAGCTGACCCGAACTAGCTAAAGGGATATTCCATGCTAAGGCTATAGAACGTCATGCCCAGAATATAAACTGGGGGAGCGGGCGGGGAGCCACTTATCACTGCTCCGGGACGGGCTGGGCATCGGTCAGTGGGTGGTGAGCAATTGTATTGTATATCACTTGGTTTTTTTAGGTTTTATTCCTGCCTCTCTCTTTGTTATCTCCTTTTTATTAATTATTATTATTACAAATTTCAGTTATTAAACTGTTTGTATCTCAATCCATTGGTTTTACCTTTTCCCGATTCTTCTCCCCATCCCACCAGGAGGCAGAGGGGGAAGGAGTAAGCGAACGGCTGCATGGTACTTAGCTGCCAGCTGGGGTTAAACCCCAACACCACGCATACACGGGCAGGACAGTGGGCACCAGGATGGCCCCACTCCACAGCTGGAGAGGGCAATGCGGCCCAGGCAGCAGCGCAGCCACTCCACCTGCCTCCACGGATGAGTCTGTGCCCTCCCAGCCTGGCTCACCTTCCTCATGATGGGGTGGCACTGCTTCCCACATGTCTCAAAAAAGACTTCCAGCACCTGCAGCACCTTGTCCCATGCTGCGTGGAAACGGTACGTCAGGCCTTCCTCCACTGATCTGGGGAGGAGAAAGGAGACGGTCGCTTCTGACCCAGCAGTGATCAGGGTGACCACCAGCCCCCATTACGGACCAGGCAGAGGCTGCTCAGAGCTCAGCCGGGCCCACGGGGATAGCCGCTCCCACACCACCGCTCCTTACCTGAACATCTTGCACAGGTAGGCGGCAGGGGCTGGGGCAGAAGCAGAGACGGTGCCCAGGTCCTCCATGTGGGGAGCGACGCACTCACTCAGGAGGGTCTGCAAGGGCAAACAGGGAAAATGGAACAGCAGTGGACCACAGATCCCCCAGCCTGGCAGGCTCAACGGGGCACACCACTCCCCGGCAAGCCCCAAACCCTTGGGCAGAGCCCTCCACGAGGTCCAGGGCAGCCAAGTGGGGAGAGGGATCTGTGTGTGGTACCTCCAGGGTCTGCGCTGCTGCTGCCACCACCTGGGAGTGTGGGGAGAGGAAGCAGTTCATGGTGGCAGAGAACAGCCGGGGCAGGTGAGCCCAGCACAGGTCCTTCTGCAGCCTGGAGAAGAGAGACCGGGCAGGTGAGAGACCAAGCGGCCACCTCTCCCCCTGCCCAGCCGTGGCCCCTGCCTGCACCTGCCCAGATTGACATGCGCCCGCTCCATTGTGGACAGCCAGGTCAGCAGTGGCTGCAGGTCACTTGTGCTGGGCACGTAGTCGTAGAGGGCCTGGGGAAGCAAAGGTTGGTGGGTGGGTGGGTGCCGTGGCACTGCCAGCCCTGTCCCTCCCCACACTGGCACCCCACACTCACGGTGATGATCTGGGCGTTGAGCTCAGCCGGCAGGCAGGCCACGCTGGCCTGGGCGCTGAAGAGGCTGTGGAAGGCTTGCATGGCACATGCTGTCACCAGCTGTGAAGGACATGGTGTCAAGAAAGGGCAGCTCTGCTTTGCACCCACTGTCCCCCTACCCCAAAGCAGGCTCTGCCTTGGGAAGCCCAGCACTGCTGCAACTGTGCCCCATCTTTCACAGCAGAAAGGCCAGCAAGCACCAGCTGCCCTGGGCTCCTCATTTCCATCCGGCATTTCCAGGCTCCAAGCTGGCAGCCGAGAGGGTTCGAGCTCTTTCAGGGTGCAGCTGAGGGGGAAAGGGGCTGCCCTCACCATCCCTGATGTAGGGACACTCACCACGTGGCTGAGGGTCATGACTCGGAGCAAGGTCTCGCAGCAGGTCTTCACCACAGCCGCAGGGAAGCAAGGCAGCAGGTCCCGCAGCAAGGCGAGGACATGCAGGGTGGTGGTTGCCTCCTTGGTGCCTGCAGGAGCAGAGCAATGTCTGAGCCTGTGGCATCCCATGGCAAAGCCCTGCCCAAGGCAAAACGCCCATGACAGAGCTGGGGTTGACCGACGGAGCTGGGGTGAACAGCCCCCTGACTTCTGGGAAGAGCTGAGCAACAGACAGACGGCTGAGGACCCTCCAAAACACCTTTGGTGCCCCAGAGGTGTCTTATACCCTCCCCAGCAATCCAAGGTGCTGCACTCTTCCTTCTTCCCTTCAAGTCCGTATTCTCCCACAGACACAGGGCCCCCCCACACTCAGCTGCAAAACCCTTGCTCCAGTTCCCCACACCTCCAGCTTTTTCGATCTCCTGCACGCAGAACTTGGCGGTGGAGGGTGCCGCAGGGTGATGCTCAGGGGCCGCATCTCCAAACATGAACTCGCTGCCCCTCAGGACGGAGCACACGCCGTGCTGTGCCGCTTTCCGCACCTGGGGGAAGGAAAGTCTAGGTGGGTAGAAGCAATAGACCCCAGGAGCACAGCCAGCCCCAGAAATGAGCCCCAAAGGCAGCATCATCCCTCACCAGCGGCACCTGGAGCTCACCTTAGGCTTGGTATGAACGCAGAAGCTCAGCAAGCCATGATAGACCTGGAGGGTGACAGGGTAGCTCCAGGCTGCCAAGTCCTGCTTCCGCAGCAGTGTGGCGAGGCAAGAGAGGACCTATGACAAGGGAGCAGCAGGGGTGTTAGCATCACCCCACAGACACCCCCCCCAGTGCAATGGCCTCAGGCCAAGCACCGAGCACCACTCTACAGCAGCAGCCTCGACTCCAGCTCTCGGCAGACCCCGAGGCAGAGCTGACATGGCTGGCTGCCTCTTGGCTACCCACCCATCGCAGGGCAGAGGTGGAGCTGCCGCAGGCCTGTGAGGACACGATACCCATGAAGGCTTTCGACACATCTGAGAACTTTTTTATGAGCACAGGGCTTGGGACCCTGCCAGGAGAAGGGGGCATGTCAGTGGGGTGAGGAGCGGGCAGCCAGTGGCAGTCATGCAGGGAACCACATCCCCAGTCCAACCTGGCTGGGTCCTTTCCCCAGCCTGGGGAGGGGGGACAGCGCCAGCCCCTCTTCCATGATGGGGCCAGGTAGTTCTCCCCACTTCTCTGCCAGCCACTCACCGCTTTAGAACAAGGTTAAGCAAGTAGGCGACAGCAGCCAGTGACTCAGGGGACTCCACCGCCTCCAGCGTGGTCATCTGAGAACAGGGGATAGGTGAGCAACGGGGAGCAGAGGTTCACACCAGGCCAGCCCTTCCCCAAAACCCAACCCTTGGGGAGCTGGGCAGAGAAACCAGGAGCAGCCCAACAGCATCTCTGCTGAAGGACACTAGGGTCTTGGCTACCAGCACAGTACCTTCCTCTACCAACCGTCCCAAGAGCCGACCCATGCTGCCAACAGCAGCTCCTCTCATGCCTCCTCCCCACGATCGTCACTCACCAGTGCAGCAAAGTACTCCGTCTCGCTCTCCTTGCCCCCCCGTGAGCGGATCACCTCTGTCACGGCCGCCAGCACAGCACAGATCTGCGAGCAGCAAGTGGAGCAGGTCAGCCCCCTGAGCCTCACATCTAGGGGGCCATCCCCACTGGACCTCCGCCCCCAGCCCCTGCTCCTGCCCATACCTCTTTGTGAGCGGCAGAGTTGGATTCCCAGAAGCGCTGCACCTTGCTAAAGGTGACGTTGGTGCAGTCGCTCAGCCCGCTCAGGAAGGTGCCGGAGGACTTCTCTGTGGCGTCCTCCACAGCATCGTCCTCCTCCATACGGAGCTGAGCGCTGTCACTCGTCCGTTCCAAACGCAGAGATCCTGACTGCAGCTCATTGTGCAGCTTCACCGCATCCACTGTCAATTTACTTTTCTCTGCTGGGGTGAAGAGGTATGCTCAGAACTGCAAAGTTGTGTTGCTCTACCATTCACTCCAACCCCACCCAAGTCTCCCCCTGCCCCAGCAAACCAGATCGGCTTGGCTGGAGATCATCTCCAGCATGTGGGACACAGAAGCTGCTTCCCCCGGATGGGAGAAAGCACACCAACAACTGAAGAGAGCTCCTCATTCCTGTGAAAACACACCAGGGCACAGGCCAGGCATCTCCTCTGATGGAGGAAATCACCACATCCTCACGTACACGTCCTGGTGTACCAAGGTTTAAACACTGAAGTGCTTTTCGTACTCTGCCCCATTTATCTTCTTCCACCCGGCGCCCTGGCAACCAGACAGCCAAGGCACATGCTTCATGTCCCTCCGGTCCCAGACACCAACTTGCAACCAGCTGCAAGAGGACAGTGTGTGCTACAAGACACACTTCCTTATCCGCAGGAGAAAGATCTCCTTGGCCCACAGCAGCCAGGGCTGTGAAACTTCAGCCTGCCACAGACTGCAATGCTCTGATGTTTGTCTTCCCCATCGTGCGGCCTTCTGAACACGAGTCTCGGCCACGTTCCTCTCCACGCCAGACACCACAGCAACGGGTGGGCCTTTGGGCTTTGGGTAGCCGCCTCGCCGCTGCCATGAGCCTGCCGGGAGGTCAGGCTGCTGGGACAGCACGGATCCCGGCGGCTGTACCGAGGCCCGGCAGGGTGACAGGCATTGCTGCATGCCGTGCCCCGCTTCACTCCACAGGCCCGGTGTCACGGTCAAGGTAACGAGGACACACTTGTTACGCCGCGAGCTCGGTTCTCCTTCCCGGTTTGCT